GACGGCATCCATCTATGCACACAGAAACGTGTGCAGTCTTCAGATGGTGACTTGCCCCTCTCCTGTGCAGAACGACCTTCCTCCGGGAGGGGCCTGGGCTGAGGCAGGAGGCACAGTTGCTTCCCTGCCCTGCCTCCCTGAGTGACTGTGCAATTTCCACCATGGAGAAGCCTCCCATATCTGCTCACAATGAGGGAACTGGAGGGGTCACATCCAAGACTCCACCAGCTAGGAAAATATGATTTACAATGGGTAGGAAAATTAAGTGCATTTTCAGACACTCATTTCTACTTTACCAGTATGATTTTGGTACATGGAAAAATGAAAGCAAAAATGTGTTTAACATTATGGGCTGTTATTTAAAAAGTAGTTTATTTAAGAATTTGTATTCGAAAGTCTTCCACTTAAAGTTTAAAAATTATTGCAGCTTTATTTTTGTTTTGGATTCTAAATGGAAACACAATTTTTGTCCTGAAGTTATGCAGTAACAGGTAGCCCCCTGACTTATTTATTCTTTTGTTTTATTATTAATGCTGTTAATAGATACTTTTTTAAAAGAAAACTATTCCACATGGCCAATCACTCTGTAAGACTTTCACAACGTCCCTGTCACGTGGTTCTCAATACAGCGTGGCTTTAATGATACTTTACGCAGGAGGAATTGGGTTTTAAAAACTTTGAAAGTGAGAAAGCTGAGAAAGCTGGAATTCAGGCCGGAGCTGACTCCAAAGCCTGCCCTCTTAAATTATAATCCCCTTTTTGGGTCACGTAGGGTCATTGCTAAGGTCACACAGACGTCATGGGAAGCTATATGCAGTGTTTATGCAGCAGTTCCCATTTCTTCACAGAGGGCCTGTTCCAAGGCCTCCAGGGGAAACTCTGGATAGTGCCAAACCCCTCATAGACTTCGCATTTCCTATACGTGCCCCTATGACAAAGTGTGATTGATAAATTGGGCATGGTGGGAGATTAACAACAATAACTACTAACAACCTGGAGCCATTATAACAGATTACAATAGAGTTGTACAATGGTGACCTCCCTTCCCACTCCCCATATCTGGAATTTCCCTGTTGGTATTTTTGGACAGTGGCCGACCATGGGTAACTAAAACAGGAGAAAGGGAAACATGGATCAGGGAGACTACTGTGTTGAAGGATTGCTTCGTGTTTCCAGGCACTTTCCATCAGCACCATAATCCTAGAGAACTAAACCCCAATATCTTTAAAAAACACTCAGTAACTGCACTCCCAATTCATCATAATTATGGCAGCCAGGTTGAGGGTGTAGAGTGAGTGAGACACACCCAGATATGGAAACCAGAGTCTTACATGTGTCCTCATTTTGTCCATGCACTTACAAAAATGTATTTTAGGAAAAGTTCTACTCATTTTGTTTCTCAGTGTCCAACATAGTTTGAATCAGAGTTGATTTTATTTCCTCTCTGGAGATGACACTCACTGCTGCAATGTGTGGCTGTCTCTTGGTTCACGCTTATCCTCAAAGTAGAGGCACTTAGTAACTCTCACAGCCAGAGGCTTTTCCAGTTTGAATGCCCCCAGCTGCGTGGGATCACAGGCCTCTGATTTCCCCTCTGCCGTAGAACGACAAAAAAATGCCAGCCACAGTTGGTTTCTTGTTTCTCAAAATATCAAACTTGGGTCCATCGACTTCCTCACTGGCGTCCTCCATCTGGCTGTGTATCAATGGCCTCGTTCCTGCTGTCTTCCTCTGCAGAGATGCTGAGTCTCCTGCTGACTGCGTGTCCCGGGATTGGACAGCCAAAGCTGCGGCCGCTGTCCTGTGCCCTTTGCAGCCTGGATCTTTTGGCTCAAGCTACTGGCTTTATTCTGCTTTTAGATTCAGGATGCATTTAAAGCAAAACTGATTCTTTCCTAAAGCGACAACCTACTGTAAAAATGGAATAGTTTGCATCTCCATGACCATTTATAGTTGGAGAATTTTCTTCTTGATGAACTTGGCTAGAATTTTAGACACTAAATCATATTATTCCCCTAGGGTGCTGTTACACTTTGTATTTGCTAGTACAAAACCAGACCAGATACCAGGAAGATCTGAAGAAATGAGACATTTTTTTGTCACTTCTGGGAGGCTTTCTTCATTTTCTTATCTTTCCACACATTTAACTGAGTTATGTGGTACAAACCTAACTCTGTCACATCCCCCCGAGATGTCGGCATCCCGATTCCCCGAGCCCGTGTGTGTCACCCTAATGGAGAACTGAGGGCTGACCAGGGGTCTAGTGTGATCCATCACCAGGCTACTGAGAAGCTGGGGACAGGAAAGTCAGAGTGAGAGGCCCGGAGGGACCTGTGAGTGGGTGGGGAGGGGGGACCCCAAGCCGCTGCATGCAGGCAGCCTTGGAAGCAGAGAAGGACAAGGAAATGGCTTCTGCTGTAGGAACTTGTCTTCCTGATGCCTGGAGATTAGCCCAACAAGACTGATTTGGGACTTCTGTTTGCCAGGATTGTAAGATAATAAATGTGCATTGTTTCGAGCTATTAAGTTGTAATTTGTTACAACAGCAATAAGAAACCAATACATTTATGGTGATCAATTGAGTGTTCAGGGAGATTCACTTCTGAGGAAATCTTTCCACATTCTTCGAAATAAGCATACATTGAAAAATATCGGGATCCCTTTACCATTGGTTCGCTAAGCCCCCCGTGGGGGTGATGTCTCATTGTTCCTTGGGGGTCGCCGCAGGTCCTTGACCCCCCCCCCCCGCTATGCAGCTTCCCTTATGCATGAGCATCATTCCCCAGTGAGCTTCTGCTTGCAGTGAGACCAGGTTGTGGAGTGACTGAGTTTCTGCTTTCGCTGTGGCGCACACCAGCGTCTCCACCCTCCACCCACACCCTGCCTGTGCAAAGCCAAACTGAGTGCTGAAGGCAGCTTGCTCAGTAAATCTGAGTTTTAACACCAATGAGATAAAACGTTTGAATGTCAGGAAATCCAAAATTCTTCATTTCTCTTTTTGGTTGTTTTGGCTTTGTTTATGAACTATGGTAATTTGCTTTCATTTTTATCTCACAATTGCTAATTTGGTAAGTTGCAGCCTCACTCTGCAACCAATATAAAATAATATCTTCCTTAGCATCTCATTCACCACAGGTCTCTCAATATCAAAACCTGGTAGTGTCACTGCTCTATAATATTGATGAAAATGCATTGTTTCAAATGTTTTAATTATTCATTAATTAATTTGAAAAGAGTTTAAAAAGTATCTATCATATGCAAGACACAGTGGTGGCACAGGACATACAGTGATGAGAAATATAGTCCATACATCCATGAAACTCTCTCTGAGAGTTCTACTTAGGTCTTGTGAGGAATTATATCAGAGAAAATCACACCAAATGGTTCTAGGGAACTAAAAAGCATGTTTAGACCATTAGAAGGGTCAAAAATATTCTTGTAAGTAATGAGATTGCAGGCCAGATACGATTATAAATAATTCAGAATAAAGAAATATATTTAAACAGAGAATGTTTAGAACCAGAAGATGATAATAGGAAGTGGTTGTAGAAACTTTCAACAGGAAGAAAAGCGAAGATAATGTGTTTCAGCCAGTGGCGTAACTAGCTGTTACTGTGCTGAAGCCGGTTCCAGGAAGTATGACCCCTAATGTAGACCAAGATTTGGCCAAAAATGTGAAAGGTATTTTCCACACCTGGCATATGCCTTCATAGCATGGTGAGTAGCCTGCTGACACTGAGATTAGAAGCAAATGTAAGCACCGACTGGCAGCCTCTGAGCCCTGGAGAGGACAAGTCCTTGTAGTCGATGCCTGGGTCACCTACTCAGAGAAGGAGAACCAGCTGGCAGCACGGGCTCATTTCCAAAGAGCCAAACAATGAGAGAAGAGCCGGAAGTGGCATTTTTATGGAGAAAACTATCACTAAGAAATTGAGTTTTCATTTTCCACAAGCAGATAACAGAAATGTTTGCAACATGAAACATTTCCTGTAGATCTCACGGATGTCCCTTATGTTCCTGCTCTGGCTCCTTAGGGTGCATCCCACCCTCGGAGGGCCCAACTCTGTGGAACCCCTTGCCTTTTGAGAGGACACCCAGCTGGGCAAGCTGTCCTCGTGAGCCACCTGGACAGAGGGCACCATAAAGGCCAGGTTTCCATTACTACAGTGAAAGGAGCAAGGGTGGTGCTTTGTAAAGAACAGAAATTCACTTGGTGCCAGCAGTGTCCCATCTTAGAGGCTGAAGGTCCAGACAGCACAGAGCCAATTCTGGCCATGCCAAGGCAGCATCACAGCCCTGGCGCTGGGTGGTGTTGTGGCTGAAGGACATGTGAAGAAGGCCACACAGTGAGGCAGAGGCCAGTGCACAGCAGCAAACTGTGGCCAGGAGATGACAGTGACCCCTCTGAGGGCATGAGCTCAGAGACCCAGGGACCTCCCAGCAGGCCTTGTGAAGTCACTCTGCCTCATAACACCGCCACACTGGGGCCAAGGGACAACTCAGACCACATCCAAGCCCAGCAGGCTCTCAGTGGCTCAGGCTCCACCTCTGTCACAAGCCCATGCACCAGGCTGAGGGACCCCGGGTCTGTGGGCGGCTGCTGAGTGAAATCTCAGGCCATCATTGTGACAACCATGAAAGATGCACCTTCCTGAAGATCTCTCATGCCAAGACAGCATGCATGTTTTTGGAGAAAAGAGAAGACATCACTTAGGAGTTATTTCTTTGAGTTGCTAGTCTAATGATGGCGAACCTTTTAGAGACTGAGTGCTCAAATTGCAACCCAAACCCACCTATTTATCACAAAGTGCCAACGTTGCAATTAAACCTGAACACTGAACACCTGAACACCTGAGGTTTTAGTTTAAAACAAAACCTCATACATTAACATCTTTGTCTTAAAAGAAAAAAACAATAACACATGTGCCATAGGTTCATCACCACTGGTCTAGGTCAAATACACAAGCAAAAATGCAAATCTGTGCCACAGGAATACCTACCTCTCATAGTGCAGCTTGGAGCGAGGCAGGAAAGGATGCAGTGCATTTGTCCATGGGCTGGAGAGGTGAGATGTGAGGAGGGATGTGCGGAGAAGCACCACCGAAAAGTCTAGGAGATGTAGCTGACTCTGGGCACCACTGGAAATAGTTTGAAAAAAGATTTTGTATAAATTTTTCTATATCTATTTCCTACTGACAAAATTTAGGAAAGGATACAAATCAATACGAGAAGTAATAAAAAATGAATTTAGAAATTGAAAATTAGAAAGAAAATTTATTTTTCACTATGAATATTTACTGAATATTTTCTCTACATAGAGTATTCTAATATAAAGTGATCCACATTTCATGTGCTAAAATATATAATGCATGAAGTGATGGTAGCATAATAATGAGCAGATACAGTTAATAAAACTCTACTTAATACATAAATCTTCTTTCATAGACACAAGGAACACATATCATGAAATTGTACTAAATAATTTAAAAATTGTGACTATTCATAACAATTTTACCGGAGTATTAGGCACTCTTTCTGTAACTATATATTGAGTTTCTACTATGTGTCATGATTTCTTTCTGTGAAATCTTCAACAGTTATTGCTTTTACAAATAAGTAATTATAATAAAGCAGCCATAAAAGAATACTCCAATATTGTAATAGAAAGGAGTAATATAATAAAAAAGGCACTAGACTATATAGAATGTTTAGCAGATTAGAGCAAGGAAAAGGGAGGTTAGCCTAACACTTGAATGAGGGAAACATTCCCTGTACACTACTGAAAAAAATTTAAACTAATTAAACTCTATCTCTAAAGTAATCGCTAATTCAGGAAAATGCAAGTGTCTCTTGGTATATTGAAACTATTTGGGCACCTAGAGCTGCTGGCATCTGTCCTCTTTCCAGCGGAGGCCAATGGGCTGGTCCTATTCATGGTGTGGTGCCTGTAAGACTCACGAACATTTCCTTTCCATCCCCTACACTTTTATTTCTATCATAACACCACATATAGTTTATTCCTATTTACAGTCTCCACATGATAAAGTCTAAGTCCCTCAAGGAATAGTATTCATTTTTCTATCCCTGAGTCCATCATAATGTTACGTATACAATGAGTGATTCATATGTAAAAAGTAATAAATGCTCATTTGATTAATTACTCTCAGAACTGCTGGAAACAAAAAGTTGAATAAGAAAAATCCCAGTATCAAGAAGCGTCCAATCTAATAAAGAAGGCAGATATGTAAAGTAATGGCAATTTTAGTTCACTTGGAAATGAATTCTAATAAAGTTGCAAAATAAGTTGTTTAACCTCAAAAAGAGAAATGGCCATTCGATGTCATTAGGAGCCTTCTGAGCAAAGCGGGGCTCTGTCTACTGCTTCTTGTTTCAACTTGTCTTTGCCCAGTCCAATTTCTTTTACCCCTCATATCTGTTGCTCCTGAGAATATTTCTAAACCAACTTCCTGTGAAACTCAGAATGTGTTCCCCAGAGAACTTGCACCACAAGGTACCCGGAGATTCCTAGACAGAAGCCTCTGCCCTGGACCAAGCCGGATCCCACTGCAGCCACTTGATCCTCAGAATGCTACTGAAGACCTGGACCTGCTGTAGGTAACACACAGTATCACTGGTAAATTTCTCCTGTGCAGAAGGTGAGTGGAGTTCCAGAGGAAAGGAATGAGGCTTGGGGTACAATTGCTCAGGTATGTGAGAGTTGTGGGGGAAACAGCAAGGAGGAGTGTGGAGCTGGAAGGGCGTGGTGAGGGTCCTGGGTGGGAGGAAGAAAGCAAATTGCTTAATCGCCACGTGGAATGAACTATGAAAGACAGAAGGCCTCCTCCATCATTTCTCACAGCTGGAGGCCAGGGAAGGGCTGACCCTGAAATTGGTAATGAAGCCTGAAAGTTGGGATGATGATACCCAGGTCCCTGGGCCAATGCACTTGAAAGCTTTTAGTCCAACATAACTCCAGGCTCTCGTGCCTAAGGAGCATGTCTACATGCCAGACACTAGCAGGTCCTTCCTAACTGACAGCACTGCAAAAGTTTGTGTCTGAGAAATAAGTTATACTTTCCCCAACAAATCCACCTCCTTCTTTCTTTTTTGCTACCAGGTTGATATCAGGGTTCAACTGCAACAGATCCAGGTAAAGGAAGAGTTGGAGCGCCCAAAAGAAAAAAAAGATCTACAGGTCAAAATAGTAGAAAGATCTGTGAATGTGTTCCCACATAATTAGGGAGAATACACATGATACTGGATCCTGAAGGGGAATCAAGTCTAGCACAACTGACAGTCGGTAACAGGGGTTTTATCAGAAGAGGTCATCTCTCTGTGATGCGAGACTCGACCCTGGACAGCAGCTCAGGAGATGAAGATCATGGTAACAGACTGCTCAGCTGCATGGTGAAGCTGAGGATAGGTGAAACCTCTGCTGCATACAGTAGAACTTCCATGGCCAACACTACAATAAGGAGAGGAAAAGTCTAGCCAGGACTGCTAGAGAGGATGCATTACAGAAGACCCCAAACACGTGAGAGCACTGTGTTTTGTGGGGAGGCATAGAGGGTGCCCTGTGTATTGAAGCGATGAAGAATGCACCACTGAGAGGAAACCAGCTTAGAAACAGCTGTCTTCTGTAGGCCAGTGCCTTCTCTATCCCAGACACCAAGGATCCCAGACCCCAAGGTGGAAGATAACAGCCCAAAGGAATCAGCCCAGCTCATCTAGCAACAAAAGCAAACTTGACATGGCAAAGGAAGTTGGTGGCAAGGTTGGTGTGACAGCTGGAGAAGCTTGAGCTGCAGACTGAATAGAGCACACAGTTCCTGGGCAAGATAGCCAGACAGCTAACAAAGTCCATCTATAGATGCTGTAACTTTATTAAATACAAATGGTTTTTAACTTGAGGCATTTTACAGATTTGGAACATTAGACCAAAAATGATCCTCAGAAAAAAGAATCCTACTTCATCACATCAGGTTTTCATGGTAATGAGTCCCCTACTCCTTGTCCCAATTGTCCAACAACTAGTTACACAGGTTCTGTACACTGGATAAATTCAAGAGTATTATACTGAACACACATACAATGTAGATTAGTCCTGATTTGAATGTCAAATGTGTTCATTAGGTGCTAAAGGGGATTTCCTGCTTGGATATGAGAGTGGATTTTTCCTTTAAAACTGTATTGTAAATTGTTATGTGTAACAAGAACAGATTATTAGCAGCTTGTGGTTTGCATATGTGAGCCAAGGATATTCAGTGTAAATCCAGTTAAAAGTTAATTGACTGTGACCTTTAAATCTCAGAAATGAACATGTTTGTCCAGATGGATTTCAGACCTGCTATGAACCCATGACGGGTAGGTGCAAGAGAAGTATTAATTTAAATTATCCTGTTCCTGTCTTATCATTGTATATTGGGTAGTGTGGGAAGGTGAGGGAAGATAAGAAAATACAGTTGTGGTTAACTTTGACCAATAGAACATAAACAGAATAAGCAGAGGCTTGATAAAGCCTTGAGCATTGGGATTTTGACTTACAAGGCTCCTTCTTGGAAGCCTGAACCACTACGTAAGATGGTGCAGCTGTCTGGAACACATAGATTGAGAGAAATGTCCATTTAGTTTCCACTTGCTCCAACCAACACAGCTGAGAAGTGAAATGTGCATGTGTGTGAAGAAGGCATTTCGGATGTTCAAAAAGCAACCAGGGCCATAGGACAGAAGAATCACCCAGCTGAGCCAAGCTCAGGTTACAGAACAGTGAGATGGATACATTTTAAGCTGCTAAAAGTTGAGATAGTTTCTATATGCGATAATTAACACTTTTATAAAGAGTTGTGGAAAAATGCAGGCACAAAAAATATGTAATTGGTTATTGATAGACTGGAGTCATTTAAGCTGGTAACTAATCACCAAGGCTAATTTAAAATACAGGGAACTGAGATATAAAATAGAGATCTTATAGATATGCATATCATAGCCCTCATTTATTAATTGTTCTGAAGCAAGATCATTTCGTGTGAATTTTTTAAAGCAGTTGGTTACCATTGGGAGTATGAGAAACCTTTACTACTTGTATAAGAATTAAATTTCCATTAGTAAAATAAAGTATAGTAAAAATTCCCCTTAGTAAAATTTTCTTGGCAAAGAGGTAGAATAATGGAGGAGAAGAAGGTATAAATAGAGGAGATGTAGTTACAGATAACAAAATACAGCCATAGAAATAGATATCATTCACTTTAAATTCAGTGATTTAACACTTATAAACACACACAATCATTACAAAATTTTAACACATTTGATTTCAGGTAGAAACCAAATAAAAGTGCCATATATAGTTTTTTTTACTATAAAATAAACTGATATTTAAGTCCTTGAGGATGGGGATCTTTGCTGCTTTTTTCATTTTTGTGGCCTTTGCACCTTGGTGTTAAGTGTTTGTAAGTATTGATTCCTTGGTTTTGAGTGTTGGTATCAATACTCCATGAAGGCAAATATTTTGTCTGTATTCTTTATTTTTTTTAATTTTTATTTTTGGTACCGGGGATCGAACTTAGGACCTTGCGCTTGGGAGGCAGGCGTGTTGTCACTGAGCTAAATCCCTGGGGCCTGTCCATATTACTTAAATCACTCTTTCTCTCCCCTTTTTTCCAGCACTATTTTAAAACTGCATCTGACACAGATGTAGACTGTTGAATAATTACATTAAAATTTGAGTTTAGGGAGAAAAATGAAGTTTTATTCCAGAGCACAGACTAGTCCAGATACCCAAGATAAATCCTGGCAAGATCCACCAAAGTCATGGACTACAGGTAAGCACAGTGGGCTTTTGTTTGCCTCAGCTTACAGAATTAGATCCCCAACACTGTGTCCAACAGCGGCAGCATCCCAGCATCTTAAGTGGAGATCGGCAGCCCGTATACCCTAAAACTAAATTCTACAAGTGCTTATAAAAGATATGTTTTTTCTAGAATAAAAGATACTTAGGACCAACAATATTTTTCTTTATTGAGGAAATTCACCTGCATTTCTAACATTTGTAGATGGTGAACAAATATACTAACAAGTGTCTTGCACTGAGATATAGGCAACACCCAGTTTCAAATAAATAATGTGTAAATGAAACCCTAAA